GGTGCGGACGAAAGTTTGCCATGGGATTCATGTTCCTCTGCAGACTCTGTATCTGCGAGAGATACGGATCTTTCAATTGACCGACGGAGTCGGTTTGCCTGGACAAAAGATCCGAAGTACCCTGAGGCGCATAATGACCGTAGGTGCCATAGCCACCTCCCGCGGTGAACCCAACCATCGACCCCGACGACGAGGGAGTCATCTTCCTCAGATCAGGCGAATTACTCGCCAGATCTGACTGCTGCTGGCCCCGGAGCAGGGAACTGTTGGCAGCAATGCCATTGCTGCCATGGGCTGAATGCGCAGCGGCCCCGCTCAGCGAAGGCGATTGCAGATTGTGCTGCTGCTGGGGAAGGGGATTTTGCTGTGATTGACGCTGATGATGATACTGATGACCCCCGTATCCCATCATCTTGATTGAATTTTCCTTTGGAATCCCTGACGAGGAGTCCGCTGTATCGAGATGAGCCAAGGACGCTGTCTCTCAGCAGGACATGTGACCACCGCGTCTCGAACCAATAATAACAATGACGCGGGTTGGTGATGATGATCACAGGGGACTCAACCACAGATAATTGTTGAGGATGGGTTCACAGATAGAATCTCAGTAGTGAAGGTATCTCAAGAAGTAACAATTGGGTTCGATAAAAACAAAAGCAGGTGGTGATTATGTTCTGCCAACTCTTGTCTGGTCTGATTATGGCTGTGAACTGTTGTGGCCTCAGGCCGTCACTACGGCAGGCGGGTTCGACCCAGTGGCGCAGTGGTTGGGCAAGTTGAGAGCAATAATAATACACGAGAAAAGGCTGTCAGGATGAATTAACCCAGCACAGCAAGAGCACAAGGGGGTATTGGGGCAAGAAAGAAAGCAGAAAAATAACAGCAATGAGGAGCAGAAGGGAATTCTGATGAAATCAACGCTGAACAACGGCCAAGACGATGGATGTTTGGGGATCGCGAGATGGACTGTCGGCGTTGTTCTTTTTTTTATTTTTTATTTTCCATTTTCTGGATTTTGGATTTTTTTGGGGGGCTCCGCATCACGTGATTTCGCGTCTACTTGGCCCTTCTCAAATCACCAGTCGTCGCGAGGATGAGTCACCCAGGATTATATGCCCTGTCTAAGTGCAGGAGAGAGAGCAGTTGCTTTGAATACGGAGTAGACAGCTGTAGATTGAAGGAAGCAGTCTGTCATGCAAAGATATCAGGCAGTCCGATGATGCTGGCACTACCCCATAGAGATCGAGAACTACCGAGCTAAAATAATAATAAAAATAAAGAGGACAGGAAAATTTAAATCAATAAAATAATAAAATGTGGAAAATCGATGGATAATAATAATAATATTCTCGATAGGCCCATTATTTCCTCCACCTAATAGTTTATTTCTTGCAGATTAAGTTTATAATATATTATTATTGATCGAGATCTGTTCCATATAGATAATTGTTTATTAGTACTCCGTATACTTTCTATCAATCCACATGTCCCCTTATATAACCAGAATAATACATATATCAAGCAGCCTTCCCAACATCCTTATCCTCCTCCTTCATCTTCAAATCTGCCAAACATGGCGCAAAAAACAGCTTCCCTGACACCACGCCCTTCAACGTCCCAATACTCACCACCATCCATAAAACCACCACACAGAGCGAAATAATCTGCCACAAGTCAGTGACTTGCTCTCTTCAATAGACAAATGGATGAAGTACCGTTCCGAGCATTTTGAAAAATTCTGACGGCAGCTCTCGACCCATTTGACAGGTACTTGCAGCAAAGACCCCGAGCGGGAATGTGAACCCCCACCAGCCGATATTAAAAGGAAAGCTGCGACATCTAGCGATAGAAGCAGACGCGAAGAACAGCCAGACCAGGCCGAACGACCAAAGAATGAGGGCGACAAGGAACCCGAGCGTGTAGAAGGTCGGGCCGGACGAGGCTTCCAGTGTATGTGTCTGCGCGAAGATGGTTTGGGCGGATTTGCCTAGTTTCATTGCTCTGTTGGTGACATTAGTATTTGAAATGGAGACGATGAAAACAAAACTCACCCATAACCGCCCTGACCTAACGGTCCCAGGGGCAGGAAAACGCTGACGATGACGGCCTTGGGTGGGAGCTTGTGGAGGGTCAGGCGCTGGAGGTAGATTACTATGACCATCATGGCGAGGGGGACGCCAATGCCCCAGAGGACATAGCTGACGAGMACCGTCCATAAGGCATGTTGAGGGTTGGGGAGGACGTCAGCGACGATGGCGCCTGAGGAGGCTGCAACGATGCAGCTTACGATTGGAAGGAGCCAGATGGCAGTCATGGAGGAGAGTTGCGTTTCGTTTCCGTGGGCCATGCTGTAAGATTTCTGAGTCACGCATTCGGATAGGTGTGGGAGGAAGTGAAGGCATACAGCAAGAAAGGCAACGACAACGCCGTCACCACCGAAAGTATCGCGTCGAGAATCCATAAACCCCAGGCAAAGTTTCGGGTCCATTCACCCCACGCTGGGACGCAAACGAAACAAAACATGTTGATAATTGTAGTCAAACCCATGGGGAATGTCCCAATGAACATTGACTGCACGGGATGCACGATCATGGCCCCGAAGATCTCCGGATACAGTGCATATCGCAAGAAGCTGATGATGCATCCGGTGACGAAGAGGAAGACATTGATAGCGAAGATGACAGTAGAGCTCCAGTATAGCCATGGAGCATTGTAGGGGAGTGTATTTAAAAGAATTGATACAATGCCTGTGCCCATTGTGACCGAGAACCATCTATTCACAGTTAGTTGTTTCTTCGCTTGTAATGGGAGCAAGGTGCGTACGAAGGGGTGAAGTTTCGGACGATTCTCCTCCAGCCCACATCATGTTTTGTGAGCTGGGCTTGTGTTTGAGAATTTGTATTAGAGCAGCTCATTATGCTGGTGAAATTCGATTTTGAAGAAGTTGACGATAATGAATCGAAGTAAGGATGGTCGCCACCGCTGTGAGGCACCGAGACTCAATCCAGCGAAGAATGCTGTAGATATACCCCACGACGCCGGGTTTCAGGCTTCGAAAGTTACTGCTTAACGCCGTGTTTATTGCTTTCTGAGATCAGCTCTATATAGCCCAATTTACACTTCATTGTCTTCTTCGACTTGCCGACTGAGTCATCATCGGTTAGCCGGTACACAGAGAAGTCAATTCGGCCGATAAATCCATTCTGTTATGTCAAGCCAGAGCTATTTTTATCAGGCAATCAATCCAATCGATGTCGCACTCTTTTTCCTGAATTCAAAGACAGTGATAGCCCACAGTAGAGACATTGCGTGCATAGCTTCAGTTGGTGTGCCAGTCATTTATATATAGTATGCTTAATAGCTCTGAACAAACAAGCTCATCTCATCATTCATGAAGTAAGTAAATAGGAATAAACATACAAATCAGAAGTAAACTTCGTACATCCTAACTCTACTGCTTCCTCTCTCCTCCAATGCTTGCCAAAGTATCCTTCGTGCTATTGCCCACACTGTTTGTCGTCTGTCCCAGCCCCTGCCCAGCACCAGACACAGTGTCTCCGAGTCCTTGGGTGGCTCCGCCGACTGTCTCTCCGAGTCCCTTGGTCGCGCCACCAACAGTTTGTCCAAGGCCACCGACAGTGTTACCGACGGTGTTTGTGAGGCCGCCAACGGTGTTGCCTAGAGTAGTTCCAAGACCACCGAGGAGGCCAGCTGTCAGTCTCGATCAGCCTGAATCTTGTGCAAGAGATAGAGGTACGGGAGCATACGGTTTTGGTTCTGGTTTTCAGACATTTCGGTATGATGATGATGGTAGTGGTGAAGTGTTCAGATTCAGAAATTTCTTTGGATTGTTGGTAAGGAGTAGGGAGTAGGAAGTAGTAGTCCTGTCAGCTAGAGTCTATCAGCTTGATTATATACCAACAGGAACATGCACAGGCACCATACGTCAGCCCTGACCCAGCAGCCGGGATGGATATCCAGACAGCAGCGCCGGGGAATAACTGCCAATGAGACCATGGTGCGCTGCTGGGACTGACGCGTCCAACTTCCATGGTTGATATCATCGCACCGCGTGTCATGTAGAGTGGGGTTGGTGGCGATTAAGGTACATCATGCAAGAAAGGTAGTATTGTTTATTTGGCGTAGATGACAGCTACCGTTGTGGATGCTCTTACTTTAGTTGATATCAGGATGAGTATCTCAGATCTTGTCTTAGGACTGATCTAGGTATTGATCGCGATGATGTCATATATCCCAACCGCACAGCCCAGGTCATTTTCATATCGCAAGTGATTGATTCCTGTTTTGAATTCATCATTGACATATTACCGATAATGGGTATAGAATTGCAGCAGAGACAGAGGAATATAACTGATCGAATTTGATTACCAAATTTATCTGCTCGTCTGCTGTTTAGAGGAGGCGTTTTGTCGGAGGATATGGAGAGATGAACACTCCGATGTTGAGACCACCTTGTTATCATGCCCATTGAATTCCTGGAATATTACTAGGCTGTGTTAGTCTATATGGAAGTGATGGCTTTGCAGTATAACTCTCAAGTCCTCAACCAGAGGCTCACAACAAGATCTACATGTCTTCTTTAAGCCAGAAGCCTAATGAACAACGTTTCTCTCCCCTAAACATCCATACACTTCCCTTCCGGCAACTGACTCGACAACAGAGGATCCTCTATTATGTCATACCGTCAACCGACCTGGACTTCAAGTGCATACTATACTTTTCTTAATGGTGCAGAATTTCGTGTTGCCTCTCTGAATACAGAGGAATGATAAGAGTAAAGAGAGAACAGGGTGTCTTGTCTACTAAGTACAAATATTTGTATTTCACATAGTATGGACTTTACATATTCCCAATAGCCAAATTACACACCTTGTGCCTAATTTCATAAAGAAAACATCCCATTCCAAAGATATTATGACACATAAAGCTGAAAAGCACAAGTTCGTCAAAATCTGCTACGTTAATGCTGGACAACGTGATCAAGTCTGGGTCTCTTCCTCCGCCTCCTCTGTATCCAATTTGTCTGCAGATTCCTGGGTAAGTGTGTTAGATTCAAACCCCGAATCTGATTCGTCTGAGTGGTATGCAGCATAGCGGTTCATGTATCTCCAAAGCCCCCCAAGCAAGTCCATTTCGTCCTTCTCGCGTATCCATTCCCGAAATTCTTCTCTTGAGACAGGAGGGTCGTCGTATGTGAAGTCAACACCATATCCCTGCAGCTCGTCCTGGATATTGTCGAGAGTCTCAAACGTGCAGCGGGCGTCCCAAAGCTCCTTCTCGGTGCCTTGAAACGCGTATGCGGGGATTTTGGCGTGCACCCTGGGAAGAGACTTTCGTACTTTGGACGCATGTTCTCCGAATTGCACTAACCACTCTTCGTCACGCTTTTCAATACAGTTGTATTTGGCCTTCACGCGGACGAGCGTCCAGAAGTCGAGCACTAATAGCTCCAGATTCGGTGCAAGGAGTGTGGCCGCGGCGGCCTCGGGCGATTCAGGTACAATGTTGTGCAATGAGAGTTTGAGAACTCTCAGATTCGTGTAGTTTCTCAGGTCGAAGAGGCCAACGCAGCTGTACCCGGGCAGGTGGACCTGAATTGACTTCAGCGTCTTCTTGTGACGGTTGAGGGCCGCTTCGAGGTTGGCGTAGCTCCAGATGATGTAACAAGCATACGGGCGACTGTATGTAAAGGCAAAATGCTCGAGTCCGGTGAACCAGGTCAGGATCTCCTGCAGTAGTCGTGGGCTCTGGCTGAATCCGTTGAACTTCGCGGTCTTGATAACAGGGAGTGTTCCGTTTTCATTCTTTGCACTGTCAGCTCTATTGACGTTGTGGAATGCACGTGCATATATCCACTGCTCACCTGAGTGTCGAGAAAATCTGCAACGTTTCCAGGAATATTGTCTCCCAGCGCAGCCATTCTCACGGCCCAGACATCTCGCCTTCGTATCTTCGATGCATCTCGAGGGGGTACAATGCAGTCACCAGCCCGGATCTCCTCCACAGTCTCCATCTGTATGGCTTTCAGGAGTAGCAGCCACGTTAACGGATGGCCGTTGCTTCCCGAAACTTCGAAGACGCGCACGCGATGAAGCAAAGACACCAGCTTGCTGATCGTTTTGAATGTCTTTTGCTGAAAGGCTCCTTGTCCGAGGTAAATTTGGAAGGACTGGCACGTGGCTTGCAATTCGGGGTAGAAGGACAGAGTCTGTAACAGTCCTTCAGTCGGTTTGCTGACAGGATCAAGATCTGGCGTGCCCAGCTCGATGCGGCGGTACAACACATGTCGAGCAACGAGGTTGAATCTCTTGCACGTGAGAGCAATACAGAGGCCTGTCTCATAGTCCATAATCTTGTCGATGTCGTCTTCCCACGGATGGATGGCTTCGAAGAAGATCATTTCGAGTATCTCGACGGGGAAATCCAGGATTTCGACCGCCATTTTGGCGTCGAGTACGTGCTATCGAGGTTCTGAGCACGATAGCTGGGGAGAGAGATGAAGGATGGTTAGTGAGAGAGGTGTCAAATCTGTGAGATTACATACCCATAACTATTAGACTGCCTCAGGCTCAATACTGCCTTGAAATTCACTGATGGCTTCATTTCACTGAGATTTTCGTTAGTATCAGTTTTGTTGACGGAGGTTGCCTGGAAAGTCGATTCATTAAATGGAGACTGCCGTCAAATCAAGGTGCTTAACCTCTATGGATATGGCCTAATTGACAGCCCGGAAATAAACAAGGCATCTTCAATTTGGCGTGTCTTTGAGAGAGACAAAAGAGGACGTGTAGAGCATCTACCTACTGTGCGAGACCTAGACGAGGTCACATGGGACAATCGCCACAACAGCAAGCAAGGTTGAGTTGATGACCTGCAAGAAAGAAAGGCTATGTGGGTATCACTGCTAGTTCTCTCCATCAAGGACGCTTGAGGTCGAGGCAATTGCTTTGTAGCAAGCCCATCAGGATCTGTTGAGAAGAGTACAGCTCTCCTCTTGTCCTTGTCAGAAATTCGACATTAACCAGTTATACATGCCGTGTTTCTGCTGCTCAATTCTATACTCGTCAGCAATAATATATCAATATTGGGTTCAAGACAGGAAATCATCGCTTCTGATAGGAAACTTTTGTTGACATTGTTCCAGAATCCAGAAAAACCCCTAATGATGAATTATTTGTTAATATGAGTGAGAGTCTGATACATCCATAAAGCCATAAGGATAGTGATGATTCTTAGAGTATTTACTTTCTTACCCCTGTTGTTATGAGAATCTGTTTATCTCAGGCCTTGCTACAGCTATACAGCTCCTAGGCCTATGGCGGAGGAATTCAACCCACAAGTGGAGTCATCTCTCATCACCCCAGAGCCACAAGTGGATTAAATTGATTCAGCTTCATCTACTCATTCTGACCATAGACCAGCATCTCTCAGATCATCTTGATCTATATAGCATAGAATCTAAAGTTCATAACACCATCCATAGATCCTAGCGACATCAACATTCTCGCACACTTTCTTGCCTTCAACCAAATCCCTTCACCTCCCCTCCACTAGCAAACATCCTCATTCTTTGCGTCTCCACCATCCTGCTAATAGCAGAGAAAGTCTTCACGTATCTAGAAAACAACCCAGCAGCAATCAAAACCTTAGTCCTCTGTGGCGGAATCGGCCATTCCACACCTCATCTCTACGAAGCGATCGCCAACGATCCATGCTACGCGCACCTCCTCCCGGAGATTGACGGACTGCCAGAAGCACAGGTCCTCCACCGCATTCTCATGCGGTGTTTCGATGCACCGCGGATCCAGAGCTCATGCCGTGTTCTGATAGAAGACCGCTCGACGAACTGCGGCGCTAATGCGACTGAAACGAGGAGGGTTCTTGAGGAGATGCAAAGGCTGCCGGGGGGAGTTTGTGGTGTATCTGTATGTCAAGACCGGCTCGGGGTCGCCTATTTGCCATCTTCTGGTCAGTCTGCTGGCAAGAGATTATGAAAGATGGCTATCTGAGGTGGGAGCAGCCGGTTTGCCCAAAGAGTTTCTGTATGACCTGTTGAACTATGTTGCGGGGGTGGCGGCTCATTAGCCTATGCATGAGTACTGGGGGAAATGCACATTCCACTTGCATGAGGCAGAGCAAGAGTGCTATCGCCGTCACTTTATGGTTGATTGATTGCTGTTGTCTGATGTTGTTGTCTGGTGATGTATTGTGCTTATTTTTCTAGTTGTGTTTGTTCAGTTCCTTCTTTGGGATTGTGGATGACTTTAAGTTTGTTCTCACCTCTTTCTTTTACTGCTCTCATCCTCCACCTCCTCTCTCTGCTTTCTCTTTTCTTTCTATTTGCTCTCACTTTGCTCTCACTTTGCTCTTGCTTACTCCCTAGCTTGCCTGCCACCCTACTGCAATACAAGAACCTAGAGTATTTCCCATTCGCCAGAACCCTTTGGGCTATTCCTTTTCTCTTGCTAGAATTATAAGTTGATTCAAGTCAAGAAGCAACTTTTATCATCCAAGTCTAGCTGAATTCTATGTATCTGCGAGTATGTACGCTATAAACTCGTCTTCCCCCTCGACTCATATCCAATCAGCAAAACCACCAGCCCAGCAACGACAAACAAACCCCCGCTCACATACACCGGCACACTGGTCTTCAGATCGGCGACGAGCGCGATCACCGGCGCCAGGATCCCGCCCACCCGATTCGCTGCCGCGGTCAATGCATTCCCCGTTCCCCGGTCCTTGGTCAGGAACATCTCGGGCGTGTACGCATAGAGGACCGCGTAGAGAATACTACTGGTGAAGCTATAGGCGCAGTTCCAACCCAGCAGGGCAGAAGACGACATGGCCGTTGTAGAGGCTAGCAGGAACGCACCCGTCAGCACGGCGGATGAGCTGATGGCGCCCCGCCGGCCGAGGTAGGGTATCTCGACTAGCACGCCGCCGACCAGGGAGCCAGGTAGGCCTGCCGCGGCGATGATTAGCGAGTTCCGGTAGGTCAGAGCCGTCGAGCCATCGCCAAATTCGGCGCCCTTGGTCTGCTGGATGTAGGGCAGGAAGGCGTTGTAGAGGGGAAAGCCAAGGCCGATAAGGCCCCAAACGACGATAAGGAGCGAGGTGGACCAGGCGCGGCGGGGGGTATCAAAGAGGGCTCGGATGTGACCAAGAGTCAGATGATCCAGTCGTTGGCGGATGAGGACGTTTGTCCCGGTAGTAGTGGCCTGGTCTGCGGTGGTTGCAGGGGTGATGAGGTCGTCCACGGACAAGGTGGCAGAGGTGCCATTCCGGCGGGCGACTTCGTGGACGACGGCCACAGCGTCTTCGTAGCGGCCTTTGCCCATTAGAAACTTGGGCGATTCATACAAGGTGAAACAAATCCAGCGGACGAGGCACATGACAAGGGCTATCCCGCCCATGGCGATGAGGAAGTACCGCCAGCCCATGTTGTTGGCGCGGGTGCAGGTCTCCTCATTGGGGCAGGTGAGGTTGCCTAGGATCGGCCAGGCGATGAGAGTGGCCAGCAGCTGGGCGAGCGACCAGTGCACAGACAACACGGTGAGGAGATACTGGTGCGAGCCCGGGAGGAACTCGAGGAAGATGGCCGAGTCGACGGGGAGGTTCCCGCCCACGCCGGTGGACCACAGCGCGGTGAAGACGCATACCGCCGCGAAGGTGGGCGACGCGGCTGCCACGAGCCCGAATACTGCGGTCAGGCCGATGGTCAGATTGAAGGCCCAGCGGCGGCCGAAGATGTCGCAACCGAAGCCCCAGAATAGGGCGCCAATTAGCAGGCCGATGTTCTGGGCTAGAGTCAGGAATGGCGGATTGGAGATGTGGAATTCCGATGTAACAGGGCCCAGGATGAGCGAGGTCGCGATCGGCCAGAGATTGTCGCTTGCCCAGCCAAAACCTATGACGATAAAGAGTTGCCATTGATAGGCGCCCATGCCAATACCCTGGATGGCGGTGTTGAGTGTCGCGGCGTTGAGCCGGTAATCAGTGAGTTTGTTTTGATCGTCTGCCATTTTGATTCACCAGGTGAATTTGATGAATTTAATGGATTGAATATGATGGCGAAGAAGAAGAAGAAAAAGATGAAGACTGATGGACATTTTCTGCACGATGGATGAAGATTTTCAGCCCCGCGTCAAATACGAATGACGTGATTGGAGCCTTGTCTGAGATCAACAAACCTCTGAATTAGCAGATATGCTTGCTCTAGTGTACTTTATATCGCCATTTCATGTTAATATGATACCACGGAGAAAAAGAAGGGAGAGGGAGGGCCTAGGGGTTTAGAGTATTTCAGTAATCCGCGGTCCATATGGCTCAGGGAGCCCTGAGTAGACAACTTAGGAGTGTAGATCTTAGAGTAGAACTCTGTGGTCCTAAGAAGCTCTATGAAAGGGGCCTCAGGCAACTACGTGAGTGCTACCTCCCTCAACTAAGTATAGGTGGCGGGTAGTACCCTGCCTTTATCTCATGCAGCCTGGACCAGGAAAGGGCCTGGTTAAACCAATCAGCTACCTTCTCGTGGTGGCCCTGTTTTGACTAAAATCTGATGGTGGTCTGGGGGGTCCAACAAACACTGTGAGGGGGATAGGCTCTCTGAATAAACTCTTAGGAGAGAGCTCCAGCGTCTTGTATGTGTGCCAGGGGGCAGCACCCTGGGTGATTCTTGACAGCCAGTTGCTCACGTGTCACTGGAATCTGCCATCCAACATGGTGGAGCCGATGAAATGACGAAACAAGAAAAAGAAGCTCTATGAAATCCTTAGACTTGAGGGACTGGAGGTACTTGGTAGTTAATATCCCCCTGTCTGCCTGAGGGCAGCTAGGTGGTCTGGTGGCAAGGCCGCTGCTATCCAGCCCTCTCAATACTACAGTGAATCGTCAACACCTCCAGTGAGACCTAGTATCTACCAGGAAAATAAGGTACTCTGGAACAGATGCCATGGACATTTCACACTAGCTAAACATACGAATCTTCATCTCTCCAACCGTCTTGCATCCTCTATCAGCCTTTCCAAGACATACATGATCTCAGAAGGTATATCCAACTCAGCGCATCTGTCTTTCAAACCAAACCCGCCAATATCACGTCTCAATCACCATAACTTCGAGGAAGGAGTCTACACCAACTGTTAGCTAACTGAACAGCGAATTACAACGGGCCTGAAATACAGCAGAAGGAGTAGCCGACGACATGGAGGATGCCAGGGCCATAGACGACGGCAATACGCGCTGGACGAACCGAGCTGGGTGACTTGGTGCATGGACCGAGATTGGGGTGGAGGGGGCCGCCAGGATCGAGCTGGAAGATGCTGAGAACGGTGCCATAGGTGTCAATTTTGCAGAGACTATGGCCAGAAGGGTGAGAGTAGTTGTGATGAGAGTTGTGGAGTGCATTGTGAGTACTATCTATGAGAGTCTTAAGAGAGGGGGATATTGAAGTGATATTGACTGGTGGCGAGGATTGGAGGGGGCTCGCAATCCATTTATATGTGCTGAATGATAACTACAGGCAGTATTTTGTTGTTGATCATGATGTGGATGTCTGGCCATATAAGACAGTGTCGTACTTGTCCTTCGAGTTATGTGCAGCAGTGTGGACTGTTGTTGATGATCTATGTCTTGCGGATATATCGATCAACATCGTGTTTCGTGTTTGCATCAGAAGTGGGTTTCTGGCTGTAGATTGATTATACATCTTTCAGATATAGCTTAACATGATCAACGTTGCTGCGTACAATTGCGTGTGTCTAAGCAAGGGTCATGATCGCCCTTGCATTGTGAGATCAACAACTTCTGACCGCAGATCGTGGTGAGTATATAGTCGTCAAAAATGTACGATTCATGCTTTGCCAGTACGTATGTACACAATTTCCATGAAGGTCGAACCCACCATACGGACTTTTGTACGAAACATGCTATATACAACTCAGCAGCTAAGGCTGAACCTTTGCCAGATGACTTCGGACAGGCATGTTCCGACCTCTTGAAGGATCCGGAAATCCCTCCACCTTGACATCCTTACGGAAGAGCAGACAATGCGTCGACCCTCCAAAGTGGAACATACCGAGCTGGTCGCCCTTTTTCAGACGCTGACCCTCCTTGACTGTGATCTCGCATGTGGAAACCTCGCACATACCAATACCCATGAAGCACATAAGGCCGATGGCCGGGTGATCTGCCTCTATGAAGATCAGTGCTCTCGTCGCCGTGGCGCTGTTATACTCCTGGGCGGTGACCTGGCCGGCCAGGTCGATCTGATGGGGCGACGGATCCCCTACTCCCTCAAACAACGGCTCGGAGTAGTAGGTCCCTTCAACGACATATGCTTTCACCACCTTGCCGCTAACAGGCGAATGCCAGCGGTGGTAGCTCAGTGCGCTCAAGAACGCTTGGTAGACAGTTCCGCCGACAAATTGCGGCGTGAACTCGTCGTGGTTCAGCATATCGCGGACTGAGTAGGGTTGCTCTTTGATCCAGAACTTGTCTCGCTCTTTGACGTTGTGAGCCACCTTGTAGGGCTGCGCCTCGCATGCGTTTGCGATGACGGTGTCATCCTCAGGTGACGCGACGGGTCTCACGCCCTCGCGGAAGACACGAGTGAAGTAGTCGTCCCACGATTTGAATCCGTGGTACTTTACGGAAGGGTCGCAAACGTACAGATCCTCGAAGGAATGGCTGGTCTCGCCAACGTTACCGACCTCCTCCAGATCGGATCTGGCCGTGGAGCCGAACCAGCCGCTGGAAGTGTCGTTGAGGACCGAGGCAGACTCGGGAGACTTGAGGTAGTCTCCCCACGCATTGAGGACCTTCTTGATCATCCTGTTGATTTCGGGATCCAGATACGCGGCGTAGCCGCTAGGCGTACCCATGCTCCAGTCCAACACTGCATTGATCGGGAGACCAACGAGACCAACGCGATGAGAAAAATCGTTCCAGCTAGGCGCAGTGGTCAGAAGGTAGTTCAAAACTTGCAGGAGGTGGTGGTAGTCGCGGATCTGAGCGCAGCCTGTCGGATCGGTACTGTATGGTCGTTTGTGAGGGATCTCGGCGAACATGGCGGAGATGAGCAAGTAGACGCGGGAATTCGATTCGATCAGTTCTTTGAATTCTTGCAGAACGGGGTGCAATTCATGGGACTTGTGCTTGTCGACGTGAGTGATGACTCCGCCCAGCCATTCCTGGTGGGCAGCGTGGCTCGAGGGCATCCATTTTCCAACGCTGGTTTGTCAGTTCACAGCTGCTTAGCCAACTGATGATGCGAATGCTCACTGATGCAGCTTTGGAGTATCATGATCGTGCTTGTTGCCCATGGTATCACTAATCTAGGAGCGTCTGTTGTGCAGTAGAAATCGGAAATACAGTCTCTTGGCAGATTGAATGATTGTTCTAGTGGATGAGAATGTGCTGAGATCGAAAGAAGTGTGTGTGTTGACGAAGCTGGGTTTATATGGTGACAGGAGGGTGATGTCATAGTGATAGAGTTAATTATGGAGAGAAACAAGCATGGCCAAGCTATGACCTAAAGTAGTGGTACTATTCTGTACTGTGGTGGGAGATAATGCAAACAGTGCAAACAGGGCTGACTCATCCATACTTGTGCTCTTATGAAATTATAACCTTTCCATATTCTGATTATCCTCTATTATGTATCTAACTACTATAATTAATATTATTAGAATACTAGCAGAATTATTATTTCCCTACTATATACTATATTTTAGTGACTAGTGCTAGGCTAAGTGAAGTCTAGGTAGTTTCTTCTTATTAGTTTTTATATTTATTTAGCTATAGATCCTTAGTTATATACTAAAGGGAGATTTACAGAGAGCTATTTATTAATTATTATATTTAAGTTTATTATAGAATTATTCTATCTAAGTTTCTACTAATCTAGTCTTTGTTACAGCACTAATGAAGCCACAGCAAGGTAAGGCAGATGTGGTGGGCAGAATAATAAGATAATAATAACTAATCATCACCTAGATCACATGACTAATATAGTATATAAATAGTATGCTAAGACTATTAAATATAGTATATAAATATACCACCTATATACTATTTACCTACCTATATATCTACTAAATAAGAGGAACTCTAGATATATAAGGATACTTATTACTATTATATCTAAAGATCTTAGTTTAGTTCTTTATATTTAATATAAATAACTTACTTAAGTATAAGTTTACTAGTCTAATTTATTAGTTACTCTCTTATTATTAAGAATATATTCTTAATAGGCCTTACTTCTATCTTTACTATTTATTAATCTTATATTATCTTTAGATTATCCTTAATCTTAGATTAGATTATTATATTATATATTACTATATATCTAGATTAGTATATAGAAGGCTACCACAGAGGGTAGGCCCTAGGTAAGTATTAGATATAGTCTAGGGACTATATTACTCTACTCCTAAAGTCATTAACTAGAAAAGGAACAGTAAAGACAGATCCCAGGGTGTGATAGTCTTCTTCTATTAATTCTTATTCTAAAAACTATTAAAATCTATCTACAACTTCCCTCGTATACTATTAATTTGTTAAAAATAGATCTCTTTTTATTAATCTATCTAGGAGTCTAGCTAGCATAGTTAGTACCTAGAAGTAAGATAGTAGAGCCTAAGGTAATAATTACTAATTTAGTATCCCTTCTAAAATCTACTCTAGAGTAGACTATATATTATAACCTCCTTCCTATTAAGATAGAGGGCAGTAAATTTACTAGTAAAGAAAGTATATTAGAGTAGCTATAAACTACTACTACTAATTATTTATTTATACTATTAGTTTCTAATTATAAAGATTCTAAATTTATCCCTTAACTATTATCAGTATATAAGAGTCTATAGATATTATTATTATTAAATACTTAACTATAGTTAATACTATAAGAGGATTACTTACTAAGAGTAAGTATATACTATATAGCTATATTAAGTTAACCTACTTTCTCTAGAAGGCCTAGAGAGGATATAGACCTATATATTAATTAATATAGGTT